CAGTTGATTATATATGTGTCTATTTCTGAGTTCTCTCTTCTGTTCCATTGATCTGTTTATCTTTTCTTTCACCAATACCACACTGTCTTGATTACTGCCGTTTGAAGTCCTGAAGTCAGGTAGCAATAGTCCTCCAATTTTGTTCTCCTTTAATAGTGTTGGCTATTCTGGGTCTTTTGCTTCTTTATATCAACTTTAGAATCAGTGTGTCAACATCTGCAAATGAACTTGCTGGGCAGCACTGATTTTAAGGATATGCTTTTCTGGGAGTTTGTGCCAGTAGCCAGAGCCCTAAGTCTTCAATCAGCTGGATGGAGTCCCTCTTTTCTGAACTTGGGGAAAAGGATTCGATTTTTAGAGTTTCCTGTGTTTGTATATTGTACAGCTGGGCCCACACCATAAAAGGCAATCATGGGCATAAAATGGGTGTCCCAACTGCATGAAGGAGAGAGTGCTAGGGCTGGCAGAGCAGGGGGTTAGCACTCACCATGATATTAATAATCATGTCATCGTCATCGTCATCATCATCATCATCAAAGAAGCTTGTATTTATTGAGTACTTACCAAGCGCAAAGCCCTGAGCTCAGTCCCTTTCATGGGTCATGTCACCAATCCTTTCAACAACCCTCTGAGGCAAGCACACACATTACTGTCAACTGAAAAAACAAAGGCTCCACGGGGTTAAATAACTTGCCCAGGGTCACATGGGTAATAAGCTGTGAAGCTGGAGTTCAAACCCACTCTTAACCCCTACACTACATTCATTCTCCCTGGCATTCCTCTTTCACCCTGGGGTAGTAATGCTGACCATTCTATGTCTGGCATTCAAGCTTCTAGAAGGCAGCTCATCATCCTGTTTTGAATAAGAAGTCCCACAGACAACTAAACCTCCTGATAAATCCTCTCTACTCTAGTTCCTTGAAACTCTTTTTGTAAAACCCACACACTTGAGAAATGGAGCCTTAAGCATCCTCTCCTCCCCCATTCCCCTCCTTTCACCTGCTTCCCCATGGCATCCAGTTGGCCACAAACCTCTCCTGCTGTTTATTTCCCTCTTAATAAGCCCTGTCTCCTCTCAGAAAGCCATTTAGCACGGCACCACTTAATTTCTCCTTGAAGCAGAATCTGCCAGATGGAGTCTTCCTCCCAAGCCATGTTGATTTGTCTTATTTTTAAACAGCAGTGACCATCCCATGAAACTAAAATAGCAGTTGGTTCCCAGGTGTGACTCACTGAGCAGGGAGGTGATCAAGAGCATATGGACTCATCCACCTGAGGCAGCTGTTCCAAATGACTTCCTCAGGTGGCACCCAGCCAGCTGCTGGCCACATCTGGGTGTCACTCAATGCAGGGGCATGCTGCTTTTTCACATCAACTGGGTTCAGCCACTCATCACTTCCTCTGGCTGGACCCCCTTGGGCTGTGCATCCTTGCCTTTTCCACAGACATACTCATACTCCTTACTGTTGGGGAGACAAAATGGACCCAGAGGACCAAGAGACCAGCGCTAAGTGGCCAAGTGAAAGAATGAAATGTCTCATTTTTTACCCTGATGTCTCATTTTTTAGCCCCCAAAATTCCTTTAAAATTTGACTCTGATTCTATAACATAACTATGTTTGGGATAATATAAATATAATTCATCAAATTATGTACCAGCTAAATTACTAAACCATATCTCTACACACACACACACACACACACACACAGTTTTTAAAACCATCCCGAAATCATGTTGATTCTGTAGCTTCATTATCCCAGACACGTGTAATAGGCTGTGTGCCTCAAGGCATATGTGCCTCTGTTTGAGGTGCACACTCACAAAGATGGGCAGTCTCTTTCTTGAGGGTATGCCTACAACAGGGACTAAGAATTTTTCCTTACTGCCACACATCATCCTAAGGAAGAGAGCATTAACCTAAAGGAAAGATAGAAGTGATTGTTACTAGTAAGACAGTGACTTCCTTAAGCTCTAATGAATAATAGAAATCAGAGACTGGTCTGACTTACAGCATCTTGGGTGGCTCCCTGACCTCATTATACGTATCATCCCAATGGGAATTGACAACACTCCAGCCCAGCTCACAGAAGTGACTGCTTATAAAAACGCATATGCCATAAGCTCATCTCCATAACCTTCCATCTTCCATCACCTTAATAACCCAGATCCCATAATAAGCAGTGGAGTCCTTTACTAGAAGGAGGAAGAATGAGGGGCGCCTGGGTGGCTCAGTCAGTTAAGCGTCTGCCTTCGGCTCAGGTCATGATCCCAGGGTCCTGGGACCAAGCCCCACATCGGGTTCCCTGTTCAGTGGAGAGCCTGCTTCTCCCTCTCTCTCTGCTGCTCCCCCAGCTTGTGCTCACTCTCTCTCTGTCAAATAAATAAATAAAATCTTTTTATTAAAAAAAAAAAAAGAAAAGGGAAGAATGAGATTCCGTGTTCAAGGATAAGGGTATGTTGGCCTTGCCTCTGATATGCCTATGTATGCAGCAATCCCAACTAGTATTTGCAAATCTTCTGAACCAGTGTGCTCTGGAAGTATTGGCAATCAGGATAATGCTCAGAGTCAAAGGCATTTTCACTAAACTCAATTTCAAATACCAGACAGAGTGTTGAGATTATAGGAATCAACTGATACGCACCATCCCCAAAGGCATTATCTGATAGGACACAGAAGTCAAAGCTGGGGAAGAATGTGTACAAGTTGAGTGATAATCCTTTATTCCTTGGAGCAATCTTGCTGCAATATTTAGGAATTTTTTTGTTTTGTTTTAAGCACCCCCTCAAAAAGAACAACAACAACAAAAGCAATAAGAAGGACAATCTTTCTTTGACCCTGTGAGATTCCTTCTCCCACGGAGAGTATGGGCCATTCCAGTTCCTTTAAGTAGTCTTATACTTGAACATTTAACAGGTGTTCTCAGGGCTACTCTGAAGAAAAAACAAATCCTTCCCTGAATCAGCAGAAGGACAATGAATTATTTGACAGTAATATTCACATCCCTGATGGAGGAGTAGCCACCCTAAATATATCAATAAACAAACAGATAAGTATATTTCTGAAATGCCACTGAGAAAAAAATACAGGGCGTACTGTTCCTATTCTTTACAGGAAAAATAAGTGATAAAATAAGCTGATGGAATCAAAAAGTGTTTAGAAGTGTGTTAAATGTCTTTCCATGGAAAGAAGCACTATTACTAAAATGCTACAGATGCATTGCTCCCCAAATCCTCAGAAGTGGTCTCATTAGTCATTTGGATGATACTGCCCATGGACTGATTATACCAGTGGCTTCTTTACTGTGTTTCTAGAGCCACAGGAACGTGTGGGTCTTTAGCATGGCAAGATGCTCCCCAATACTAATGTCCCTGGTTATCTTATAGACTCAGATCAGACCTTCCCTTGATTGGCCTTCCAGATGAAAGCACACTCATTTCGGGGAATTAGGGGAGTCCTCTGCATGGATCTTTTATGACAAGAACAATAGAGTCTTAGGAGGGCTTGTTTGGAGTTCTCCAGAGGGCACCAGAGAAGGAAAGAAGACCTCAAACCCTCATCCACCTCAGGGACTTTTGTGAAGTCAAAAAAGAAAAGCAAAATTCCAGTCACATCTCTTTTTCTGTGAAAGAGAGTCTTGTCATGGCCAGGGCACCCAGATTCCAACAGAAACAGAAGCATTAACATGCCCAGAGGGGCTCAGCACCAGTGGAGAAAAACAGCGAAGGAGAGCCTGCCTCCCTAGGCCTGGTTGGGCTCAGAGGCATCCAGCTGTAAGCCAGCTGGGCTCAGTTGAAAAGAGCATGTGTAGAATATTGGTTTGGTTCCAAATCCCATATTTAAAGAGGGACATTTCCAAATACAGCCTTAGACAAAACAGTCCACACCTCAGGACAGGTCTTGAAACTGTCATACAAGAGCAATAAAGGGCCCTTGGGAAGTTAAATTTGACTCGGCAAGTCCAAAAGGCTTCTGGGAATACCTGATGAATGCCTTAAAATATCTACAAAATGGTAGAAGATGGAATAAATCAGGAGAGCAGAACTAGTTCAATATTTGGCTAAGTAGAAGGAAGAATTTCTAAGATGAGAGCTCCTTGAAATGGAATGTCTTGACTTGGGTAGTAGGGAGTCCTTTTGCTGGTGGTGCAAAAGCTGAGGCTGCCATACACCTGCGACCTGAGGAGAGAGGGGAATACTTTTGAGAAGGTAGGATCTCCAAGCAGTGAAAATTGTGGCGTTGGGTGTCAAGTTGGCTCTGGGCTCAGGTTTCAGATGTTTTTATAAGACCCTGGGAAATTTTTCTTGGACCCTCAATTTCCTCATCTGAGAACTGGGTCTAACATTATCCATTCCAGTGGGCTATTATGCAAATAAATAAAGTATTAACTTTCCCTAGTGCTTGGCACAGTAGAAATGCTACATTTGTGATTATTGCTGCACTGTTATATCTGAGTTTGACTTCCTGGTGCTGTCTTTCTAATTCCCTGACTGCCCAGAGTTTTCCGTTTCAGCACCACCCCAGATCTTCCTACACAATGGTTTTTATCCTCACTTTCCTACTGCCACTTTCCTCTCCTAATCAGAAACAATCTTTCCTAAACAATCTTTCCTTGCAACCCTGCCTTCTACAGTGATAACTGGCTACTCTGGAAAATGATATATATTAAGAGTACTATAGTAATATGACTATGTAGTCACCTTCTTCTTTAACTTTTTTTCTTCTGCTAGGAAGCAAGGCTGAGCACAGTACCTAGTCTACAGCCAACAGTCAATCAAAACTCTAAATGATCATGAGGACAGATCTTCTACTAGTGGGATTCTATAGGCCATGCTAAGCTTTTCCAGAAAGTTATGATGGTGGTCATTCGAGGCAAGGTAGAATACCAAACAATTTTGTGACAAGTTGCTTGGGGGATATTTAGGCACAGGTGGGACCTTCCTCCATTCACTTATTAATTTTCTAGAGAACCTTAAAATTCACTGTTGTTCTCCCACCCAAGAAAAAAGCGGAGCTACATGCAGAAGTGCTGGAAGGATGTGCGTGTGGGAGACTTCATCCAAATGAAATGCAACGAGATCATCCCAGCAGACATACTCCTCCTCTTCTCCTCAGACCCCAGCGGGATCTGCCACCTGGAAACTGCCAACCTGGATGGAGAGACAAACCTCAAACAAAGACGTGTTGTGAAGGGCTTCTCAGAGCAGGTAAGGCTCTTTCTAAGATCTTCAAAAGTAAGGTCAAAGGGAAGAAGCAAGCCAACTCTACTGGAAAATTGAACTTAATCTGGTAGCTGGAGGAGAGAGTAGGGGATGCCTCCTTTTCCCAAGCACTTAGGTATACTTAATCTTCCCAGCAAGCCTCTTAATTGGTATTATCCCCTTATCAAAGATGGGGAAACAGCCATAGGAAAGTTAAATAACTTGCTGAAAGCCTCAGAATGCCTAAATGGGGGCCCACTCTATTAAGGAAACTGTGGTCTTTGGTCTAAACCAAGGAATCTAATATCTGTTCAGTTACCCTTGGGACTAACCCACTTTTCCGTGCTTATGCAGTCCCTGCCCATCCTGCCCAGCTCCTCTCTCTCCCTGAATCTTCTCCAGTACTACTTTGACGAGAGCATAAGCTACAGGAAGGTACTGTTAACTGTTTTTCCACTTGTGTACATCTTACCTTCCCTCCTAGAGAAACAGGGAATGATCATCAACAGTTTTAGTTAACCCCCACACTTACATGTATGGTACTGTGGACATCATAGGGAAGTCATTACTGTTTGGTGGTTAAGAGCCCAGGCTCTGGAAGCTGACAGAACTGAACTCAAAGCCCAATCCCACCATTTAGTAATATTCTTACCTCAGGCAAGTTACTACTCTCTCACATCTTTATTCCCTCATCTGGAAAATGGGTACAAAAATAATACCTTCTCCATTAGGGTGATTCTGAAGACTAAAGGACATGTATAGGAATTATTTAGCATGAAGGTAGACACATAGTAAGAGACCAGTAAATAGCTGGCAGTAAATGTCAGTGGTGTTCAGAGGCAATATGTGTTGATAAATTGAAACGGGGGGTGAAAATTTGAAATTTTCGATTAAAATTCCCCTTGAAGGTGTTGGTTTTTATTTTTTTTATTTTTTATTAAGTTAGTCACCATACATTACATCATTAGTTTTTGATGTAGTGTTCCATGACTCATTGTTTGTGTATAACATCCAGTGCTCCATGCAGTACGTGCCCTCCTTAATACCCATCACTGGGCCACCCCATCCCCCCACCCCTCTCCCGTCTAAAACCCTCAATTTGTTTCCTGGCATCCATAGTCTCTCATGGTTCATCTCCTCCTCTGATTTCACCCCTTCATTTTTCCCTTCCTTCTTCCGTCCGTGGAAAAGAATAAAAAATCTATCAGTTTCTTCACTCTGCCAGCCTTTGGCAGGAGAGAAATTAGATGAGTTAGGGATTTAGAGGAAAGAAGGCAAGTGCTTCATTCCTCAGAGATTCTTGTAAGCTAGAGTTCAGTTATCTAGATTGAAACTTCTTGAGAGAAGACAACTTGTTATACCTCACTTTGCCTCTCTCCAAGCACCGAATGAATAGTTCTTGAAAAATCTCTTTGGTATGGTTGACTCAGTCCTCAGAAGCCTGTTCTCTCATCTCTACGTAGTTCTCCCCTAGTTCTGCTGTGAGAGTCAAAGGAGATAAAGAAAGTAAGGAACAAAATATAGGGGTTTTGGTGCATAGTAGGCCCACAATAAATGGACTATTACTGCTACCTCAGCTGTACTTACTACCCTGGGCATGGAAACCACCATGACCACTTTGCTGCCATCTGCTTTGTCTTGTTATTTTGCAGCTTCAGTCTTTCCATTGGTCTCCAGGCTCCACCTGAGTCAGTCACTGCACTGGTGTGTGGTGTCTGAGTTTTCTCTCCTTTGCTTGTCCTTACCACATTCACCAAATCACCCTAGAGTTTACAAAAAAAGCAGGGCAGGATCGGGGGGAAAGTTCACAAAGCCATTCTAGATGTACAGCAATCTATTTCTTGGCTCAGGGCCCTGTGGCCTGCCATCTAGATCAGAGGCTTTTAAGTTTCTTTAACCATAATTCACAATAAGAAATACACACGATTCACACACACACACATCCACATGTGGATGTGTGTGTGAGATACAGGATTGTCACCTCAGCCATGCTACATGCAAAGTGCTCTGAGATTTCTATTCTACTTCTTTTTCTTTTTTTTTTTCCTTACAAAGCTCTGGGAGCATTGAAACTTGTATTTTCTTACAATGCTTACAAACCTCCCCCTCAGCAGTCCCTCCCCAACATCCTCAACACTGTTCTGAGTCCTCTTTACTCTCTCTCCAGTGGCAGAGCACAGCGTTGTTGAGTTTCAACCAGCCACTTCTCTTTTGGTCTTTAGCAATAGCTCCCAAACTGTTTCTTGTCTGTTAATTAGTCAGATAGTTGGGGATTTTACTGGAAAGAAGAGCAAGATGAAAGGGTCATTCACACTCCAGTACAGTAGACCAGCCAATTTAATAAGTTCTCTCAAACTCTAACCCTGAAATCTCACAGGTTACTCGGCATAATGACTTATAAAAAAAAAGAAAAAAATGTTCATTTGTGAAGGGAAGAAGATTTATTTGAGCTTCAAGGTTTTTAGTGTTCTCTATTCTGTTCCTTCATTCTCCCCCTTACTTTGCTTAAGTGTGTTTTTCCATTTTTATAATAATAGTTATAATAATGATGCACTTTTATGAAGTCCTTACCCAGAGCTTTGCATGATTATCTCATTTATCCTTACAAACCCCCAATAAGACAGGGCTATTATTGTCCCCATTATACACATAAGGAAAAGAAGCATAGAGAGGTTAAGTAACTTGTCCAAGATCACTGAGCCAGAAAGTGTTGGAACCAGGATTCAAAGCCAAGTTTGTCAAAAGTCTCAGCTCCTAAGGTTCATAGTAGCTCATCTCCCTGGCCCTTTGACTATTACCCAGAGTTTACCCAGAGATGCTTACTTGAATGCACACATTTATCATTTTCAATATTCTTTCCACATATAAGTAGCATGTGGCAGGAAGAATAAAAGTAGGTTTAGCCAGGGGCACCTGGGTGGCTAAGTCGATTAAGCGTCTGCCTTCTGCTCAGGTCATGATCTCAGGGTCCTGGGATCGAGCCCCACATCAGGCTCGCTGTTCAGCAGGGAGTCTGTTTCTCCCTCTCTCCATTCCTGCTCTCTCTGTCTCTCTCAAATAAATAAATAAAATATTTTAAATAAATAAATAATTAAAGTTTAAAAAATTTAAAAGTAGGCTTAGCCAGCTCTCTGAGAAGAAAGAATTTAGGCTGCTCTTTGCTACCTTGCTTCTCCCTTATGTCAGCGCAAAAAGATCTCTGAATATAGGTAGAATTCTCTTCTAACTCTTTACTATAACATTTCTCAAATGTGTTGGACAGACATTGATGAGAGTTGCAGGAAAAATGTTGCAAAATCAAAAAGCAGAAAATAGGTTGCAAATTTTCATATATTTCAAATAGTACTGCCAGACGTCTCAGGTACTTTAATAAGCCCCAAGGAGGAGAGGGGACAGGGACCAATATGTAGCATCTCTAAACATTTAACCACAGAGACCTTTTATTCCAAGGAACATACTCCAGAACTACTTCAGGAGATGTAGAATCACAATTTAGGAATTTGTTCCAAATACATTACTGGTGTTCAAGATGTACCATCATCACTACAGGGAGAAACTTTTAAAAACATACATGCATTCTTCCCCATTCTCACTAAATTATGGCTCACTAGGACTGAGTAGGGGTCGGGCATGCATATTTTTTAAATGTTCCCCCTTATGATCTTGACGTGAACCTACCTACCACCTACCACCTTCTTGAAGACCTGTACAGCAAAGGGAAGGTGTCACCTCAAGCGCTTACAAAAAACACTTTTAATAATAAGAACAAATCTACCATCTCCATGTGCCAGTGATTTTGCTTACATTGTCTCTTTTAGTCCTTGAAATCACCCTATGAGGAGGATATTACTATCCTCATTTTACAGATAAAAACTCTGAGGAACAGAAGGAGCAGATTTTACCGTTGTCTCAGAGAAGGTTTTGAGCACCTACAGATATGGTTTGTTTGGAAATCTGATATCTTAAATAATAAGTATAAATGGCATTTCTTAGTTTTCCCTATAACCCCTAGTGACTATAAGACCTTCACCTTGCCAAAAGGGTTTTTACTAACAGATTTCTAGAAATTTCCTATCCCATCTGTACACCCACACCCATTTTTACCATCTTGCAGATGACGAGAGATTAGTATATTCTGTTAATTCAGAGTCAATAAGACAAACTTCGTCTCCGCTCTCCTAGATCAGCATTTCTCAAGGCAGAGTGTGCCAAATGCTTATCTCAAGAGATAGTTCTTAGAAAACAAGGATCATGGTCAAATCTGATTGGGAAACCTGTGTCCTGGACCCCTCTTAGAGGTCCAATGTACATCAACATAGTAAGGTCTCTAAGAAGATCTGCAGTCAACAGACCTTTTAAACTTTCTTTAACCCTGCGTTTTCAGAACTATTCTTCAGCACAATAATTTTAGCGTTCCTATGAAAATTTGGGGGGAAAATTAACCTGGATTGTTGAGCATACATGATCACAGTAGCTGAGCAGTAACAGAGAAGGACCTAGGCAATTCATCCTCCCCTTTCCCATGTAGGTTCAAATGAAACTATAAATATAAAAGAGCTTCTCAAAAATATCTTTCTCCTATGACAAGGCACATCATTCTCAAGGTTGCCAAAGAGTTGCTTTCAAAATCCTTTTCTTAGAATTCAACTTGGACGAAGCCAACTTTCTTTTTCAACTTAGACTTTTATCATGCTGGGTGATCTTTGAATTCACAAAATTATTGACTTGTTCTTGAAATATTTATTCCCACATCCCATTGCTGAGGAAGGGGAGGGAATCCAAAATTAGAATTATGCTAAGGTCTGCTGAGCAGGTCAGAGGACTTTAGTAGAGAATTGAATTGTACCATTTTCTCTTTGATGACATTCTGATACCCAAAATCTCTTCTCAAAAGGATTTCCAAGATGGGTAGTAGGTATTTAATACCTGAAAAGGAGTATGTGCCATTTATTTTGGTAAGTGGAAAATACCAAAGCCAAAGAATCAGAAATGAATTCTTCCAATTA